ACCATCCTGCATATCAGATATTTACATTACGATTTATAACAGTAGCAACATTACAGTTATGAAGTAGTAACGGAAATAATTTTATGGTTGGGTCTCAACATGAGGAACTGTATTAAAGGGCTAGAAGGCTGAGAACCACTGCTCTATTGGCTAGGTTAGCATTCAAAGCTCTAGTGCTTTCCCCAACTGGGCTTCCCTTACCCATGACTGAACTCTAGCATACAAAATATGGGAGCTCCTCACAGTCTTCGAAAAGACCTAATTAAAAACACATTTACTTTAATTCTCCTTTGCAAATAGCTTTGCTTTAATGTCACCTTTCTGAATTATCTTTAATACTCAAATGAGAAAATTCACTTCAACATCTAGTTATAATAGATGGAAAAAAGAGGTCACACCTTTTTAAAAATCTTTTTCAATTTATCTTTTACTTTCAAGAATTAATAATTTTTGAAAATAAAATTAAAAATCAGAGAATAACAGAGTTGCCTTTCTATTGAAAACATACAAAGATAAATGCTTATGAAGAAATTCTGCCCTTGTAAATATTTTTGTAACAAGGTCAGAAATAGAAAAAGCTTCTCCAGTGTTTCCTCATACATTGCCAATAAAAATGAAAATCACTGAGGAAAATCAAACACTTGATTTGGGGCTGTGCAAAAGAGGAAGGGAAAGGGGAGAGAGAGATAGAAATATCAATGATGAGAGAGAGTCATTGATTGGTTGCCTCCTGAACGTCCCCTGCTGGAAATCGAACCCACAACCTGGGCATGTGACCTTGACTGGAATTGACCCTGGGACCCTTCAGTTTGCAGGTTGACGCTCTATGCACCAGAGCCAAACCAGCTAGGGTGATAATGGTATGTTTTTAATTTCAATGGATACTTTTGATATTAATATGAAATTAATAGTCAATATTATTCATGATATTTTTATTCCAAATATTTTTACATATATTATCTTTTTTGAAAAATATTTTTTTATTGATTTCAGAGAGAGAGAAAGGGAGAGGGCGAGAGAAATAAAAACATTCATGAGATAGGCATTGATCTGCTACCTCCTGAAAGCCCCCCTTGGGGGACCAAGCCTGCAACCCCAGCATGTGCCCTGACGAGGAATTGAACTGGTGACCTCTTGGTTTGTGGTTTGACCCTCAACCACTGAGCCATACCAGCTGGGCTACATATATTATCTTATTCAATACTTCTGGCAACCATACTAGGTAGAGAAAACAGATTTTTTATCCTCATTTTGCAGATAAGGATAGTAAGACTTTGGGGGATTTAATTGATTTGCCTGGCCATATAGCCAGTGACTAAAGTGGAACTGGAATTTTTGACTCTTTTTTTTTTTAAAATATATTTTATTGATTTTTTACAGAAAGGAAGGGAGAGAGATAGAGAGCCAGAAACATCGATGAGAGAGAAACATCGATCAGCTGCCTTCTGCACACCCCCCAGTGGGGATGTGCCCGCAACCAAGGCACATGCCCTCGATCGGAATCGAACCCAGGACCCCTCAGTCCACAGGCCAACGCTCTATCCACTGAGCCAAACCGGCCTCGGCGAATTTTTGACTCTTAACCCAGGGTTACTTCCTTTATTAGAATACCTAATGTTCTTCATTCTCACAGTTAGTGTTTTTCAGTGTCCTCCAAAGTTCAAGGACAGATAGTGTTTATTATGCTGAAAGAATCATTAAGGAGCATGGACATTTTTTCAACCTGCAAATATCCTTTATAGAGATGGATAGAATTCCCACCTGAATTGCTCTTTTGAACTCAGCATTTGTATGTGAGCTATTTTCAAATGAATCTGCTATGAAGATATTAGAGTAATATTTTTTTGGCATTATAGGAGCACATTAAGATTTGAACAGAAGTACATATTAGTTGGTTATTTTGTTCTAGTTTATCCTTTTGTTGTTCCCTGGGAGTCACAGATACCAAATACCATATTTAACTATAACTAGTCTCTCCTAATAATTTTGCTTCTAAAAGGCTCCCCCCTTTTTTCCCAGCTCTTGAATTTTTTTCAGCCTGATTTTAGCTGACAGCTGCATTCAAGGCGAGATTCACCCTGTGTTTCTCTAACTGCAAGGTATGTTTTTTGAATCCTCTTTGTCAGTTGCCCCTTTTAATGCAATTGAGCCAAGCCTCTTCTGTTCTTCATGGTGACATTTTGGTCTTTCCCAAGTGGTTTCAGCTAATTGAGGTTTTAAATGAGTCATTTATATCACATTTTAAAATATGTTTCATATCGTGGTTGCTTATATTGAAATTCATGCTGCCCAGCCGGATAGCTCAGTTGGTTAGAGCATCCTGTGGATATGCCAAGGTTTCGGGTCCATCCCTAGTCAGGGCACATGCAAGAATCAACCAATGACTGCAGAAGTAAGTGGAACACAAATCATGTTTCTCTCTCTCTCTCTCTCTCTCAAATCAATAAAAATTCAAAAAAGGAAAAGAAATTCATGTCTCCTGGGAAAATGCACTTCAGTTCAACTCTAATTGCAGGCACATATACAGAACTATACAGTTCATGAGTTTAGGTAATTGTGTGCTGGCCTGACATTCCTTATTATGATCATTGCTGAAACAGAACAATGGCCAAATGTAAAAGTCCAAAAGATTGATTTGTTTTTACTTTGTTGTTGTTAATCCTCACCTGATGGTATTTTTTTTTTCATTGATTTTTAGAGAGTGAAAGGGAGGGGGTGGGAGAGAGAGAGAGAGAGAGAGAGAGATAGAGAAAGAAAAGACAAATATCCATGTCTCTCACATTGATTGGTTGCCTTCCGAATTCACCCCAATGTGACATCGAACCTGCACGACCCAGGTACAAGCCCTTGACTAGGAATCGAACCCAAGACCCTGCATTGCTTGGGCTGACGCTCTAACCACTGAACTACCTGGTAGGAATCAATTCCATAATATTTTCAAAACAAAATTTTCCATTTCATTTAATAACTGATTTGCATGAAGACAAGGTGAACCTCTGGGGTGGCACTAAACACCTTAACTGACGGGGGTGGGGGGTGTCAGTTGGGGAAAAAGGAGACTTACATAAAACTTTAGACAATAAAAAAAAGTAGAAAAAAAAACTTCTCCAGCAGTAAGGATAATAATTCTACTTGCAAAAATTCTATCTGCTAATAATGTTTTCAAATAATTTTAAAAATCACAAAAATGTAAAGAATAGCTTTTTGCTGAGAGCCACTGTCTGAGATGAATTAAAATAATGTGACTAAAAAAAAAATACCTTAACTAAATTATGAATGAGTGCTAGTATTGTGGTTGTGCTTTTTCTCTTTCTAAATTTTCTTGACCTCCTCTTTCTGTTTCTGCCTCTTAACATTAAAAAAGAAATCCATTTTATTGGTTTTTAGAGAGAGAGGAAAGGAGAGTAATAGAGAGATAGAAACAACATCCATTGGCTGCCTCCTGCACACCTCCTACTAGGGATGGAGCCCCCAATCTGGGCATGTGCTGTGAGCAGGAATCAAACCAGTGATCTTCTGGTTCATGGGTGGACACTGAACCACTAAGCCACACCAGCCGGGCTCTGTTTCTGCCTCTTACTAGCGTTCTCAAAAAAATTAAAAGGTGTGTTGAAATGGATAAGGTAAACATAAATGAGGAATACAGCACAGAAAACAAATTACCTGGGTAAATTCAGAATCTATAATTTTTAGAAGTAACTTGTCAAAATCCCAAAAAGCATTTCAAAGGATGGTAAGATTACACATCTTGTACTGTCATTGTTACAACTGTCTAGGTTGGGGGCTTGCTTGGCTTTCTGAAAGTCCTGAGAGAGGAGGAAAGAGAGAGAATCTCAACTGATCAGACTTGCTGAGATCATTAATAAAGTACAGTGTAGAGACTATTCACCAAATACAAGAAAATCTGATGTGACTCTCAGACTCTGACACAATCATTAAGAAACTTAACACAGATTACAACAGAAAACAAACAACAAAAACTACTTAGAGCTTTACCACCTGGAGCAAAAGAAACAATTTAATTATGCAGAGGTGACCCCATGTATTAGTGCTATTGATTATGGTGATCACAGTTTCCAATTCAAGTTTGGTAAGATGGTTTGTATTTAAGAGACAGTGGATGAGACCAAATGTTTAAAATTTGGAAGCACCTGCTATTTTATATATATAGATGAAAAATGGAAAAGAAAATTGAGTTGCTGTTTTAAACAATTCAACTTTTCTGAACTCAAATACAGTTGTCTTAATTTTGTGTGTTTTCCCCACGGTTCTGTAAACTAGCCTTTATCTAAAAGTTCAACTGTAGGCTTTAAAAGTCCTTAGGCCTGGAAGGACCAGAGGTCCAGTCCCTTACTCTGCTTAAATATTAAATTATAGTCAATCCTGAGGGGAACAATAGTAAACACGTGACCATCTATCTCATTTCACTTTTATTCCTCGTCTACCATCAGGATCAGCAAGATCTTGCAAAAAGTTTCGCAAGATCCTATGTACAATGAAGTTGCTTAACATCACAAGCGAATGATTCTTGGGAGGGCTGGGTTTCTGGAGTCATTGTTTAACCGGCGGTGGGAAGGGCGGCCTTGCTCTGACGCTTTCCCGAGCAGGCGGGCATCCCAGTGCCGGGAAACCGCCAGGAGCTGGCCCAAGGGGGCGCGGGGTGGGTGTCCCGGCCCCTGCGAGGAGAGGGGCCTGGCGGCCGCTGGGATGCCCAGTCCTGTCACAACCAACCCCTTTCTCTTTTCTTCTTCCAGGCCGGCGCCGGGGACCTCTGCCGCCAGGGCTGGAGGCCGCCTGGGCATCTGCAGGGGCGGCGCCCGGGGCTTGACTGACGGAGCGCCCGCCCCGCGGCTGCGGCTGCCTCCTCACGCGCCTGCGCACTTGCGCACCGGGCCCGAGCGCTCGAGCGTCCTTCCCTCCCTCGCGCGCCTGCGCGCCGGCTGAGAGGAACCCGGCGTCTCCGCCTCGCCAGGCGGGCGGACGCGCGCGCGCCCGCGGTCAGAAGGCGGGCCGCGCGCGCCGGTGGGAAGCGTCCGGCTGCCACAGCGCCAGCTCCGTCCTACTCGCTGCCGTCCGGGGCCCGCTCGCCCCTCCTCCCCACTCCCCCGCCCGCCGCCGCCCGGGCGCATGCGCTGCCTGAGCGCGAGGGTCGGCTTCGGGTGTGTGGTGGCGGCAGAGCGGAGCTGCGAGCCCGGAGAGTCAGAACCTGGGGGAGAGGGATGGTCTCTGCACGGGGAGGAGCCGGAGGAGCCGCCGCCGCTGCCGACGCCACCGCCGCAGCCGCCGCCGCCGCCGCCTCGGCGCCCGCCTCCCGGCGCTGACGGGCTCACACGAAGCCGGCGAGGGAGAACCCGCACCAGCGGTCGCCGGCACACCGCCCAGCATGGTCCGAGAAACCAGGCACCTCTGGGTGGGCAACTTACCGGAGAATGTGCGGGAAGAGAAGATCATCGAGCATTTCAAACGGTGAGTGACACGAGGCCCGGGCGCCGCTGCCCGCTCCGGCCCGTTGCCGGCCCCTCCTCGTGCGCGGAACTGGTGAGGGGACCCGGGCCAGACCCACGGACGGGCGCGGGGTCGCGCGGATGCCTGGCCGTCTCGGCCGGCGTCGGGCCTCGGCGGAGCGGGCGCGGCTGCTGCTGCTGCTGCTGCTGCTCTCCCTTCCCAATAAGGAGGAGGCTGTCGCTCGGCCTCCGCGAAGCCGGCGCTGGGAAGGTGCCCTCCCGCTGGCGAGGCGGCGGCGGGACGCGTCCTTGCGAGTCGCTGTCCCGGCTCCGAGGGGCCGGCCGGGTCGGGCCCGGGACCCTGCCCACCCGCCCGCCCGCCCGTCCCTCACGGCCGACTCCGGAGTTCGGCAGCAAGTCCCGCTCCCCAGCTCGGACGCTCGGAAACGTCAGACCTGGAGAGGGTTTTGTGCGAAAGGGCAGGTTCTACAAAAATAAGTGTGGGTAGGTGATGTCGGAGCATCTTGGAACTGCGAAGACGCCGGGTTCTAGGGGCCTCGTGGAAGGGGTGCCGTGCACGGTGGTTGTGTGGCGGGCTTGGGGAGAGGACGGTGCCTGCACAGGAGCTGGTGCGCCCGTTTCGGCGCTTTCGCCTCCTTTCAGCTCTGGGTCCCTGGAGGAGGAGGCGGGTGAGGACGAGGGCGTGCAGCGGCGGCAGGTCCGCCTCTCGCGGGCAGGTCCCCGCCTCGCAGGCGCTCGGGAGCCCGGGACCCCCGCTTCCGCGGCCGCCGGCGGCACCCCGGGGGAGCCGCCTTTGAAGGAACGTTTTTCCCTCCCACCCAGAATTCACTAATGAATGGCTAGGAAATGCAAGCCTTTTACAATGAGAAGATGTGGCTTAAAAAAAAAAAAAACCCCAAAAAAACACCAAACCGACTTGCTAGAATATTTTTTGTGTCTATGGAATGTTGGAATAAGTGTTGTGCTTGACACCTCTTAGTTGTTCCGTAGTATCTAGCGCCCGTCTTTGTGAAATACACGCGTGCCGTAAGCCTTCAGTATAAAACGCCGAAAGGACGATGTGCTTACACTTGGTGCACACGGAGGAGGACTGCAGCACATCTGTGCTTGTCCTCCCCAAATGGCTGTTGATTCCGAGACTCAAGACCCCGAAAGGTTTTCAGTCTGTTTTACTCGCCATTCCTCTTACTGTCTAGTAGTCCGTGAAGGGGATTATGGAGCGCCCTTATTAGTGAGTCACCCTGGGAAAAATAGATTGCGGGAGCAGCCTGCCGAAGGAAATGGAAGCGGCGGCGGCCGGGCTCCGCTGTCTTTTAAATGGAGGACCATTGATTCTGTTGATGGTTGCTGTTACCGGGGTGTTCAAGCTTCGCCTCCGGAGCGCGCGTCTGCGCGTGTCCGCGTGTGAAAAGGAGCCGGGCATAGTGAGGCCATTCATAACCTGCTGTCCGCGGCAGGACTGGGGGAGGCGCGCTTCCAGGGACTCTCCGGGTGTTTACTACGCCGTGCTGGGAGACCGGGCGAGGGGGAGGCCGCTAGCGAAAGCTCGCCTCTGACCCCAGCGATCGTGGAGATGCCCCGGGCTCAGTCGAGAAGCAGATGGGAACTTTCCCTGGAGCTGCTCCGCCCCTGGCTTCCCCACCCTTCACTGTTCTGGTCGAAAAATAATCTAGGTGCAGATGATTGGAGTGGAAAACCCACTTAACGTGGCCACTTTATCTCTTTGTGGACGTTCTCTCTGCCTGGGAAATTTGTATGCACCGACGTGCAAACACGTGCCTTGCAGCATTCACTTCGCAGTGTTGTGTGGCCAGAGGTGTCATTTTGCATTATGCAGATTCTGGAGACATGGCATGCCTATCGCGGGGAGTTTGACCCCTCTGCAAGAGGAGATGTTAGGGAGAGGAAAGAGGAAATCGTCCAGGGGAATTTTGGAAGGTTTTAACTGGACGGTGCTGCGGTCCGGCTTGTGTGAATGACTTTCTAAAATGGCGGCCAGGACCCACTTTATGTGGGAATCAGCCGAGCGGATCTCAGAATGCACAGCGGGAGGAGGGGGCAGAGGAGGCGAGCTGCCTTGAAAAGCGGCGGTCTGGAGGAACGTTACTGTATTAAAGAGGGATTAGCTGGCACATTGCTCACGACTGCACTTAAAGGAGTATTTTACCTTTTGCAGAGCTAAAGCAGATGCTACTGATAAAAGCAGATTATCTTAAAACTAAGCAGACCGTGTGTTCCTGAAACTCCTTTGTTTTAAAAGCGAGTTAAAAGTGTTTGAGTAGATAGTACAGAGTGTAACCCCGACACTGGGATTTCCAGTTCCCATCCTCCCCTTCCCACCTCCACCCCCAACAGGTAATCTCTATTTCTGCTTTCTTGTTTATACTTAGACAAGAACAAGAAATGTTTTTGCTGATCCAGCTGTGGAGCTAAATGGACCTTGTTTGGAGGAATTCATGGCCTTTTGTCTCTGTTGTAGAAAATGTTTTGTAAAACGTGTGATTGTTACTGGGAGGGCAACTAAATCTGAATAATTTAAGTGAAGGGGATAAAAATGTACTTGTACCAGAATGATAGCTGTGCAAGAAAATTTAAGGATAGCCACTTTTGGTGTCTTCTAGAAATCTGAATGAGAAAAAACATGCAATACCTAAATTAAAGCTGAGGCTATATTGCCTACTTTTACCCTTTTCCCCAGTTGATTACAACATTAACTAATAACTGTTTTACAGGATTAAGAGGTGTACACTGGGAATACATTATTTAAAACGTTTTCAAAATGAATATTCTCATAACGGTGATTAGGCCTTTGTAGTATTTGGATTAAAAAAAAAAAAAGGTTAAACCAGACAGCTTTGGGAGCAGGGGCAGCTTAGAGGCATTTTGGGGTTAGGGTCGGGGTGGAAGGTCAGAGCCAATTTTTTTTTTTACTATTTATATTTTGATTTGTGTTTTTGGTAGGAAATAGATTGAGGGAAGGATGCTGATTTGGCTTTTCCATCTGTGCCAGAGAAAAACCAAACCTTTAAAACATAATCAGAGTATTTTCAAAATTTGGCTTTACCTTCTTGCAATAAGAATGCATCTATTGTGTTCACTACCTTTACAGCTTTCAGTATGCCAGTTGAAAAAATTAAATGACAACTATTTCTGAATCAGATTTTATTTAACAAAGATCCATTTCAGCGACTGGATTTGCACAATAGAGAAAGTCCTTTCCTTTGTATGTTAGCTGGGTTTAAGGGGGAAGGGAGGAGTTATACAACAATTGCTTGCTGTCTTTTAGTTGTCAGAGGGAGAGAGGTGTGTGCAAAGGGGACTCCCTGTATTAGAATGAGTAAATGAATAGAACCCTCCAAAGAATACAAAATTGTCTATATTTTATTTTCAGATTTTAGTAAATCACATATTTAGGTTCTTCCCATACATTCCCCAGGTTAGAGAATAGGTTAAAGATTATGCAGAGGTTGAGCAAGGTAGCAGCTTGTGTAAAATTTTGTCAAAGAATGAGACCCATTTAAAAAAATGTATTTTGTTATTGCTAATTTTCATTGTCTTATCTCAGTGGTTTTCCTGAGTTTAAATACTTGGAATATACCTTATATGTTACATGTATTTGGATATCTTTACTTTTGGAACACAGTATAAAATATTATGGAAGAGTTTCCTTGTTCTTACATACTCTATAACCAGAGATATTTTTAGACTTAAATAAAATTGACTCATAGTAGCCTACACCATTGCCACATCATTTCTTTTGAGCCCAGTCAGTTTCTATGTTTTGAAACCTCTGGTTTTGAATGTTATAATTTTGAATGTTTTCATGGTAGGCTTTTGTATACTTTAACAATAAAATAAAAAAAAATCAGTTATCTTGAAAAATAGCATTAAAAATTAATACAGATGCTTGAAATGTTATTTTATTTCCTGAGTAGAATGCCTCTGGCAAGCAGTTTGGAGGAAAACATAGGGCTCAGTGCCAGAAAGAATGATGGTGTTTGACTTTTGTGTAGTGGCCACCTTTTCCCAGCTACCTTCATTGTGGACTCTTGATTGTTCCACCATTGTATTGTTTGGTACGCTTATGAAGAAATTTCAAGCTTGATTTATGAAACATTTTTAATCCTGCAAGCTAATGCTTTGGGAATACTTATTTAGAAATTGTAAAGATAGCAGTATTGTAAAAGTTCTTTCAAATATTCCAAGTCTCACTTTCCCCTTCTTTTGAAATATTGCTTACATTAAAAAAAGTTTACAATATTTTGTGAAAACTAGTATATTTAATTGGAGACTATATATTTCTCTGCTTTTACTTTTAAGAAAGAATCTGTAGTGTTTGGTCTGTAGTTAACTAGTACATAGTATTTAGAGTAAACATTGTAGTCAGAAAATATCTTCAGTTTTATTAAAACTGGGCTCCTAATTTTCATCATTGGATTATTTGGAATAAAAGTTCAGCACCTTGAAACAGACACATAACCTGGTGAACAAGGAGACTAAATACAATAACATTTTTCTATAATTAAATTTCTAATTTTTAAATTACTAACTTTTACTTTTATTTGTTTTCTTTATTTTTGTGTTTAATTATTATTTTCCTTATAGCTACTCATAATTTGAATGAAAATAGCATACACTATTGTGGGAACCAATTAGAATGTTTTAATCATTTTATTAGAAACCATATACATTTTGTGTGATATCTAGCTAGTTTTAGTTTGTGGAAATATGCTTTGAAGTATTTTCTTGGCGTAATTTGAAAGTATTGCAATATTCAGATTTTCCCTTCTACATGTGTCTCTGTCTGCCAAGTTGAAAATTATAAACATATAAAAAATCTCACAATGGAATGTCTATAAAACTGTAACTTAAATGTAGTGAATTTTTAGACTTGATTACTTAAGATTTCATTTTGAGTGTAGAGATGAGTTTAAATCTAGCATATTTGAGGTATTTATTATATAACAAACTGCTCCAGTTCTTTAAGTTAAGGAATATTTG